CAAATCTATAGTGTATATGTATTGGCTAATATCAAATCTATACTCTATCTACATTGGCTAATGTCAAATCTATACTCTATCTACATTGGCTAATATCAAATCTATACTCTATCCACACTGGCTAATATCAAATCTATACTCTATCCACACTGGCTAATATCAAATCTATACTCTATCCACACTGGCTAATATCAAATCTATACTCTATCTATATTGGCTAATATCAAATCTATACTCTATCCACACTGGCTAATATCAAATTTATACTCTATCTACATTGGCTAATATCAAATCTATACTCTATCCACACTGGCTAATATCAAATCTATACTCTATCCACACTGGCTAATATCAAATCTATACTCTATCTACATTGGATAATGTCAAATCTATACTCTATCTACATTGGCTAATATCAAATCTATACTCTATCCACACTGGCTAATATAAAATCTATACTCTATCCAAACTGGCTAATATCAAATCTATACTCTATCTACATTGGCTAATGTCAAATCTATACTCTATCTACATTGGCTAATATCAAATCTATACTCTATCCACACTGGCTAATATTAAATCTATACTCTATCTACATTGGATAATGTCAAATCTATACTCTATCTACATTGGCTAATATCAAATCTATACTCTATCCACACTGGCTAATATCAAATCTATACTCTATCTACATTGGCTAATATCAAATCTATACTCTATCCACACTGGCTAATATCAAATCTATACTGTATATGCATTGGCTAATTTCAAATCTATACTGTATATGCATTGGCTAATTTCAAATCTATACTCTATCCTCATTGGTTAATGTCAAATCTATACTCTATCCTCATTGGCTAATATCAAATCTATACTGTATATGCATCTGCTAATGTCAAATTTATACTCTATCCTCATTGGCTAATATCAAATTTATACTCCATTCTCATTGGCTAGAATTGATACCTTGCCTTCTTTGGCAAACTCTCAATTCATATCTTGTCTTGATTTAAACTTTGGTAACCATAGCAACAATAAACCCAGATCAAAATTTGAATTTCTTTGATGTCAAACCAATATAACATTACAGAGGAAATCAATACAAACAGCAGACTTTAAAGAGACAATTCCTTGTCACACAAAACAATGCATCACATGTTTAGTAACTGACAACTCAGAATAAAATCCGTAATCACTCTAATCACCAACAAATACAACATAATGACTAATTGCCACGGTAATTTTAATGAAAGCATTAATTCAATTATGTTAGCCTTCAAGTAAACACTTCCTTATTGACGTCAACTGTCATTGTTGTTGCCACGGCAACAATGCTAATTGTAACTCTTTTGAGCAGTATCCTTGAAAGTATTATGGGTAATAAAGCTAGGAAAGCAGGAAAGACTAGCTCATCATATTTTGTCATATTTTTATGATAAGACTATAAAGTTTAATTTCTTTGCCGTAATTTTGTAAAATTTTCTGATGAAGTCATGATGTCATGTCTAAGTATATATCAATAAAAATTACATGTTTTTTCTGTACAATATTCAACACAAACACTTTTCATTCTCACTGTGGTCTATATTGCAAACATGACTGAATGAAAGATTTGATACAGTATTTTTGTACTACTTTCAAAGTTAAAATACAGAAATCAATTTTTTGCAACTCTCAATCTTAAGTACTTGATTCTTTGTTCTATTCCAATTTTAGGAGAAATATGGGATATTCGATAACCTATAGTTAGAATTAATTTGAGGCAAGTAAAGTAAAAAATGAATGATTAAATTAAACATATTAATGGACTTTTATAGTTCATTTTTCCACATAATAAATTTTATATTTGTGAATGAAGAGTGACTATCGCTACTTTTTTTATCATTATGGCATCGTGGCAAGTTGTAGCTGTCAACTGAGTTCATCAACAAGGGGTGGGGGTGAGGGTGTTGAATTGGAGCATGAGAAGAACCGCTAAATGCTACAAACATTCACTAAAAATAACCCATTCGAAGTACAAAAACATCAAAAGCAAACCATATTTGTGACCCCGCCCCCAAATTCTGAAGGTCATGTATGATCTGCCTCCTGAGAATAATTTTTAGATAATATCATTTCACAAATCAATAAATCTCAGAAGGTTGAGAGAATATTTTTAACAGCCATTAAAAAAAACTATCTGATACTTTTGAAACAAAATTTAAGACATTTCATACAAAATTTGATCATAAAAGTATAACCCAAAACTTTTTTGTGGTTTGAAAGAAGATTATAAAATACACACATTAATTCCACTACATTTTGTACAGTTCTGCATGTTTAGCCATAGACCTTAAAATATATGTATAAAATACATACATGTATGGTTTAGCTTGATAGGTGACAAGTCTCTTTACATAACTGTGAATGTAATTGCATTACGTCTAATATTAAACTGATAACTACACTGCAAAAATATCAAATCGTGCAAGCAGCGAAATTTTAAAAGTTCATGGTGCTTCCTAATTTTAGGATATTTAGTTTCAATGTCATCTCAAATGCTGAAAATTCTTTCTCTTTTTGACTGAAAAAATAAATAAATAAAATGTACGAAAATAAAAACAGTGGTACATCATGGGTAAATAAATAAGTAATTTTAGCCATTCTTTATGAAAAAAAATACTTAAAAAATTGGAATTAATAAAATTAAGTTTTCAGTTTCTAATTTCCAACAGTGAGTGTTTTCGTGAAGGTCAACATATTTATATTTAAATTTAATGGAATAATTCTAAAGAACACAGCTAAAACAATATCCAAATTATAGGAATTGGGGAACAAGCTAATATCCTTAGTTCTGTCTGACCTTCACCAGCAATATCATAGCCTTGAATTGTATTTTTAATTTAACCACATGTTCCCTGCAGATAGACAACAGCACTACTCATCCACCAGCCATTCATCAAGGTCAAGGACACGGTACTCTTTTCACCATATCTGACATTGATACAGTGCAACTATTTGGAATACCAACTCACTGTCTAAGCTCAATAAATTTAATGTCTATACCAGAAAATGTTGGTGGTGACAAAACAGGCCATGTGTGATATCTCCTCATTGATTTATATACCGAGTAAGAAACTCACAGGGTATATTTATATCTAAAGAGACCTCATCAACAGGAAATACTATAAATAGTCTGAACACTGTATCATCTTCCTGATGACTTTTATCACAGTAAATAAGTTTTTATCATTAAAAATATTGAATTGGCTGTTGAAGGAAGACTCTGCCACGTTTGCAGATACCGACATTTGAACCACAGAGGGCGCTATTTCAGTTTAATACTGAAGTGCTGATTTTAATGTTGACTCAATTTGACTGGCCTTGAAAGCAACAAGCTTACCTTTGTGAATATAATTATAATGTATATTTAAATAAAACTATATTACTGTTGATTATAAATATTTGATGATATAGCAAAGACTACTTACTATTCACCTCAAATATACAACAGTTAGAGTATTATAATCTTGGTAACATTAGGTTTAATGTTAGTATATGTGTGGAGGGGGGATAGCAAGATGAGGGAGAGGGACTGCACCATGGATGAGGGGAAGGTTTTGTACCATGGATTATAGTCGATGACTTTCTGTTTAGAAATCTTTTTAGCTTTGTGCTTTTTTTTTTTCATTTCTCATTATTTGTTGGCACATGAAATGTCCACCCACATCCTGTACTTGAATATAACACAGGTTCTGATTGGCTTAAAAAAGTGATGCCATGCAACTCATGAATATATTCATATGCATTGCATGATGGGAGAAAGTGAAGTGAAACCTTTCAAACA